TTTTTTTTTTTTTTTTTTTTTTTTTTTTTTTTTTTTTTGTCCCCGTTGGAAAGAGAAAAAAAAAAAAGAATTCGTTTTACGTTTTTTGTTGCTACTCGTGCACTAGGTTAAAAATTTTCACAAGTTAACATGTGTGCACGACTAGCAACCGCTTGCTTTTTTTTTTTTTTGTACCCGTTTGACCTGTGTCACGTACCCCTTTGAAGCATTTGACCAGGTGGGCTGAGCAGCTCACCTGCCCTTGTGAAACTCGCGCAGAAGAAACACGTCCCGTGTGAAGCTTCCCCAGTGTCCTTCGTTGTGTTCCGCGAAGGGGATGTCGGGGAAGGCCCTACTGTAGTGGCGCTTCAAGTCATTTAACACGTCTGTCATTTTTTTTTTCTCCTGCAAGAACGTGTGTCCGTGTTGGTCCTGCTTGTGATGTTCCTCTAGGGCAGCATCCGCCTTGGGAGACGCCACGTGGGCTCTAATGAACGAAGGGAGGAGGTCTGAAAATTCTTTGTTGGCGAATCGGTAGTCCAGGAAGAAGAAGGAGGAGTAGTCGTTCACGTGCCTCAGGCTTCTTCCTATGCACTGGTTTACAATTTTCATGGCACACTTGAGCTCGTACGTCTTGCACATGTCGCTGATTAGGTGATCTGAGGGAGCGTTGGAAAAGTGACGCGCGCATGATTAGCAGAAGTGGAGAAGCGATACGCACGTGACCTTGCACACATGACGTAGCAGCAATGGGGGGCGCCGCTTCACTTACCCAACTGCGACGAGGGCGGCGAGGCCGCGTCCTCTGCCCCTCGTGCCACGTCAGCGGAGAAGGCCCGATAGTAATTCAAACGAAGGGAGTTCCTGTCCAAGGGGAGGTCCCCAGTGGAGGTAGCAGAGGTCCCCTTTTCATGTTTGAAGAAGGGAATGCCAACAAGCAAAACGTTACGGCATAGGTAGTCGTGAAAGTTAATTCCTTCACTCAACTTTGCATTCATTACACAGAAAAGGATGCAACCATTTTTTATAGAAGTATCTTCCTGCTGATTTTTTATCCTGTCTACACTCTCCATGTAGTCCCTAAGCACATCGCTGTCGCCATTTTTCTCCTCGAAAAAAATTTTTTTTTTCTTCTTCATTTCTGTTAAGACGTACTGACCTTCATTGTGTAAAAAGATAAAAAATTCTTTTAAATATTTGTACGAAGAGAAAAAAACGATATTGCCAAACCGAACATATAAAGTGAGCAGGTGAATCTGAATAGCTAAATTGAGCAGATGTGTCTTTTTATTTCTGCTTCTAAAGGTGTTGTCGATGGGTTCATAGGTCACTAGGTTGGTACGGACAATTCTACAAAACACGTTACTCGTTTTGAATATGTAATCTGACATGAACAGCTTTACAGATTTGTTTTTTTCCTTTCGTGTCATGAAGAGGAGGAGGAATTCTTCAATCGGTTGCAGAGTCCCTCCGATTAGAATGACGTTACTGCATTGGTTGGTAATTTGTTCAAAGTTGGTGCACGAGCTCACACTCACGATTTCTAATCTGTGTAGCATTTGGGGATTCCTCCTCAATGTTACATCTTCCATGAAGGCACTCATCGTGTCATCCGTGTGGCCATCTCTACACGTGTTCGCAGCATCACTCTGGTGAGTATCCTCTGGTGTATGCTGCTGCACCTTCACAGAGTCCCCCTTCCTCACCCGCTTCAACCTTTCCACGTGTGTCTCCCCCTCAGCGGCAGAGAGACCACTCCTTTTTTTGCTTAGTCCCTCCCCATTTTTATATATTCTATTACGCGGTTCCTCTTCCGTTGGGCCTGCCCTATGTAGAAACACATAGTCGTACCGATTAGAGCGAATCATTTTATTGGTGTAATCGCTGAGCAGATAAATGCAAGACGTGTTGACACTTGCTGAAACGATTTTAACATGCTGTGGGAAGTTTTTCCTTAGGTATGATTCTGCAAAAATTTTAATTCTTCTGCAAAAGGTAGAGTTATTAAGAAAGTTGGAAATATTATTTAGGTTCAGTGCATCTAACTTAGATGTCAACATGTAGTTAGTCACTTTTACGAGGTTCTCTTTAACGTCTCTGAAGGAAGACAAAAGCAAATCACAGTAAATGACAACCTGTTTAATTGAAACTAAATTGTTATTGTTTAAGACCTGCTGGTATTTCTTTGAATACTCTTCCAGAATCAATTTGCAAAACAGGATGTCACCATATGCGATGGATGCTGAATTAGAATCGTTGACGCTATCTATTATGTTTTGTGCCTCGTCAAATATTACAATGTTATTTTTAATGGAGATTTTTAATCCCCTTCTAACATGTTCATTTAGAATACACACATAGGGTACAAGTACTATGTCGGCGGTTTTTACATTTTCTCTGCTCAGGTAATAAGGGCACACTTCTATCTGATCACTCATGCATATATCCTTCACTTGATTCATTTTTAAATTTTTGCACTGGATCAATTTTGTCACTAGACGGTAGTTGTCCACCACACGGTTCGTCTTCCCTTCATCGTCCGATCTGTCACTACTCCTTCCACTCGATGATGGTGAGTCGTAAAAGATTTTGTTTTTTTTCTTTTCCCTTTTCATTTGCATGTTTTGCTTAAATATTTTTTTGAACCTACAATCGCTGTTCCGGCAGCAGTCGTTCAGCTCGTTCACACTTTTGTACTTCTTCAAAAATGGCTGCGCGGGGGGGGGAGCGGTGTCGTGTGGTGGGTTGAGACGCGGCGCATGCATGTGGTTGAGAAGCGACGCATGAACATGGTCGAGACGCGACGCATGCACTCACCTCATTCACACACAGGTGCTTCCTACTCCCCAAGATGACCATGTTTATGGGTAGGTCCCTCCCCACCCTCTGTTCAATTTTTTTCAGCTCTGAAAAGTACTGGTCTAGTTGTGATTGCGTTCGGCTGCAAATGAAGATCTGTGAGGGGGAGTGGGTGATGATTGTAAGACGGGGCGGGGTCATTATTCAGACTGGCCAACGTGCTGCTCACGAAGGGGAGGTTGCAACCCTCCACGTCTTCCCCTCCTTTACCTGTTTCTTGGATGGCCCCTCCACAGAGCAATCGCTCAGGTTATCCTCCTCTGGTGAGGGAAAAAAAAAAAAAAAAAAAAAAGTCAGCACATAATATGGGGCAACGTTTCAACTGATGACTCGGCACACACACCTGCCGTTCATAGTTTTCCGTTCTCAACTTGATCTTTCTGCTTACCCGCCTGTGGGTCAAAGTGGTATTCCCCTGTCGTCTTGTGCGCCTCCACTTGAGCCTGTTTTTTTTCCACTCTTAAATTTTCCTTCAACGTTATTTTGTCATCACAGATGGAGAAGTACCGGTTCAGGATCGTCACGTCTTCCTCTTTCCTTTTCTTCTGCACTTTTTGGGTCCGCGAGAACTTTCGCAGCAGGTTCTCCGTGACGGATTCTTTCACCCACTCGGGTTCTGCGTGTGTGTGTGGGAAGCATGCAGTGGGAGAAGTGAAGAAGCGACATACCATATAGCGTTTTTCATGGTGGCTGCGCGATACGTCCTGTTCGAGCCGATGCATTAACCGCTTGGTGCCGCTCCGCACGACAAGCCACTTTTCAATTACCTTCCTTCCGCAGATGCGTGTCTTCCCTCAAGAGGAAGAATTCAAATTTGTGTTTGAGCAGCCTAAGGGGGGGGAAGGGACGATGATACAGTGGGCAGGTGTGGGAGAGGTTGCCACGCAGTGAGACAAACGCACTACCCCCTGACTATACTTCGCACCGGAGCAACCACCTGTACAATGGTGTCAATTCGACTTACCAATAGACCAGTGGTGTCAACAGGCTGAGTGATTTTCCAGAACCCGTTTTCATTTCTGAAATGATATGATCCTGGGGGGGGTCCCCATCTTCCTCTCCCACTTGACTAATCCCTTCACACACCTGACCCTTAAACGTGTCGAGACCGCTGTCCACCTCTTCTAGCACCATCTTTTGAAGGCTCTCGTTCTTCTGAATAATTTCATACACCGGCCGGACCTCTTCGCCAATCGCTAGGTTTGATTTTGTTAATACATTGTACAGGGTTCTCATGAAGTCCAGCTGAATCTGCAGTGGTGCACAAAAAAAAAAAAAAAAAAATAGGACCAATCATACGGGGTGACGATATCGGTGTGGGGGTACCACTGGTGGGTGGAAAAACAGGACGATGTGCATGGTGTAGTTACTCCACCACTAATACTCATAACACTGCGAGACGTGCATGCATAACAAGAAAAGCAACTCCCCCGATGAAAAAACAAAAAATTAGTTTAAAAGCACATTTCCTATTCTCCCATGCTGACGTTATTTACTTTGTATGGAGGGAAGGGAAAGAACTGCTTGATCTCTTCATCGAATTGGGTTTCCATGGTGGATAGCTTTGCAAAAAGGAAGGGAAAAAAACGTAAGGAAAAAGGAAGGAAGGACTTTCATGTGTGTTATAGATTCCCACATGGGCAGCGCTACGATGTACTACGTGTCACGTGTCATGTGTCCGTTGCATGACTGCGCTTTTACACCACGCTTATGATCATGCGCTTGGCCGCTTCCTATGGCGCGATCGGGAGGAATACGAAATGAATTGACCAATCTGATGGGGTCCCGTGCAGTAACGGCAACTCGATAAGAGAGAACGTACATGTACATCATAGTGCTAGCCTCAACCAACATTGACATGGTGCTTTTTTTTTTTTTTTTTTTTTTTTCCACTGAGGAGTTATACACCTGACTTGTACATGCAAAGTGTGTATTTTCTCATTTCGGCTTAGCCATGTGGGATGTGCTGACTGCTCATGGGGGTAATTACCTTCATTAAAGGGCAGAAGCTGTTAGAAGGTGATCTCCCCCCATGAGTAGTCACAGGATGGGCACACGTGTCGTTAGCCATGCCGCGAATCATACCCATTACAACTCGCACCCCCGAGGAGGAGAAAAATGAACAGCTACAAGAAACACTCCTTGTCGTTCTACGTCCTGGACGCAGCTGCATGCGGCGGGGATTTTTCCTCGCTGTGGAGAGACTTGGAGTTCGCCCCCAGGGAGGACATCGTCATTATAAGGTAGGAGTTTGGTTGAGAACGCGTGGCATGCCTGCACACAGCGCATGACAATACCCCCCCTTGTCCTTATCTTCTCCCTCACGTACGTGGGATATACGCTGGCCAGTGTTACTCTCCATCCCCATTGGAGTATGAAGCGGGACATCAGTGTGGGAGATTTACCTCTCCACATATACATACCCACACACCACTACCCCTGTCGTGCAGCATAAAGAATGACTCGAGGAACGACAACCACCTTAGGAGGGCCATCAAGGCAAAGTTAGAGCAACGCTCATGTCGGCATGGTGAACACATGTTCTGTGATGCGCAGAACCACTACGAAGTGGTGGACCCAAATTTCCAATTTGAAGGAAACTCATTTATCCTTATGGTTAGAAAAGAGCTGCGCAACGACATCCGGCAAGTGCAATGCAAAAGTGTGAAGTTACGCATGAGGAGGTGTCATGGGAAGAGCTACTTCAAGACTATGAGGCACTACTTCGATCATTTCATAACGCACACGCCCCCACTTGGGGGGGACAACAGCTTAGAACAAGTGGGGATGGCGAAGAGGATGGTGAAGAGGGTGCCGAAGCGGAGCGGAGCGAGTCAGGCGACGCCCCGCCATTCGCTCAGACGAGCCCGGTGCCGTAGTGAAGGGACGAATGGGTGTGTTGACATGGAAGAGCAGGGGGACAGAAAGGGGAAGAAGAAAAGGCACGACGACAACGTTGTGACTTATATCACATTTACTTTTACGGGTGTCACTCTTTGCGTTTGTCTGTCCAACTTTGATTTGGAAAAGCATGTGGAGCGGTGCGAGTACTACAGGTGTTTGCTCGGCGGAGGGACGCGGGGTGGCTCGATACAACGTGGCTACCTCCCAACCGAGACAAGAAGCAACTACGCTCAAGTGTTCCTGGAGAACTACCGCCTGTGCTGCAAGCAAATGTATAACCATTTCACAAGTAGCATATTGTTTGAAACCGAAAAGGAAGACCTTCACCTGTTTAACATGGACATTGTGATTTTACAGGGTTTCAACCAGTTGATTCTTTTTAACCACTTAGGAGAGAGTAACCTAAATAACGACTCCCTCATTTGGGGTAACAATTTTGCCATTTTAAATAAGAGTGAAAAAAATTTGTTACAAAAAAAATCCTATTTTACCTTAACATGTTCAGGCAAAAATACTGAATTTGTTTCCTTTGGCTTTAAATTTTGTTGCGATTTGTTTTCCCAAATGGAGGTTAGCATTGTTGATGATTTTTTTTTGTCACATAATGGGGAGGCCAATCGGGGGGAAGCAGGACACATGCACATTGGGGTGAAGCCGGAAGTTCTAGAGTTGGGTCCAGTCTACACGTACCAGGTGTGTCAAGCAAGCTTCCAATTGGACTATGTGCATGCAGGGGGTGGTATGGGCCAGGATTGTGAAAAGGGAGGAGATCACCTCTCCTTCTCCATCTTATGCTTCGACCCAAGGAGCCAGTCTACTATCCCAATCAACCTCTACTCATACCTCCACTTGAAGAAGAATTCCATTTTCAAGTACCTCGAGGAGAACGTTCGTTTTGGGCACAGCCAGTTGAGGGGAAAGAGAAAGGGATGTTGTCCCTCACCTGCTGACGAACAAAACAGCGTTGACATGGTCAGGCACGTGTATGTACATCCCCACAAAGGAATTGTAAAACAAAATGAACAGAAGAAAATTAAACTTAATATTTATGTGGACCACATGTTAAAAAAGGGTGAAATGGTAAAGGGGTCTTTTATTTTGATAATTCGTTTTCACAAATGTGGGAAGGACATTAAACAGATTTTTTTTACGTGCAGGTATTCCCTCGTGGACAACATCGTCAGTGCACTTGTTCAAGACAAACACCCATTGGTGAGAACACCATGGAGTAATCGCTCCACAAGGAGGGATAGGAGTGCATGTATTAAAAAATGCACCACGGTGAAGACAAATATGAGCTTGCACAATAGGGATAAACGACACGGCTTGCGGAATTGCAAACTGACCAAACGGTTGAACGTGGAGGAGGAGGAAAAAAGGGGGAGACGACCCTTCCTCCCAGTGAATATCACCAAGTTCGTTTTGTATTCCTTCTTTGCGATCGATCGGTATGAACAGGAGTTGCTCAGCGGTGTGGCCAATCATCCCCCAGAAGGGATCCTTCCCTCGCAGGAAGAAGATCAACCCTTGTATCCGCTGGGGTTGTCTAACCTACGGACAGACCATCTAGTGTACTGCTTCATCCCCACCTCCTCCCTCCAAGGAGAAGAGAAAAAAGGAGTTGAATGTAACCTTAATTATAATTGGAAGAAACATTTTTTCTGTGTACAGTACCCATATCAGTACATTGAGGAGAATTTTTTCCTCCAGAGTCGTATCCTTCAAATGAATTTAAGGAGGCAACATGTGGAGGGGGTACCTCTGGAGGTTCATTACTTAGTGGGGAAACTTCAAAACAACGGTAAGGTAGAAAAACCCATTTGTGTAGGATCCATTTTGTTTCTGTGGGAAGAACTCTTCAAGGTGTTATCCCCTCCACTGGGTACCTTTGCGAAAATGACTCAAATGATTATCCGCATTTATAACAAGCCCAAATTAAAACAGAAAAGAAAAATGAATTTAATATTTCGCATCATTGTTAAAAAATCTCCGTCTCTGTTATACAAAAATATTTTTTTAATTCTCTTATCCTTTTTGAAGAAGCTCTATTTTTATTTGGTCCGTGTGTGTTTGCACGCTTTTGGAGTTTCCATGAGGGGTGCGCAGATCGAACAGGGTAAAATGAGCGTTGCTCCTTTTCGTAATTATTCCCCACTTTGTACGCCACCCCTGTTTCAGCTTTTCCTGCATGCCTTCCACTTCTTCCACGTCTCCTTCCTCAGCTATGTAACACATTTTTACCTAACTTTTATGGACCACCAAATCGGCCTCGACTTGGTGCACCACCTGCTATTCAATGGGTAGAAGAGGGGGTGTGGGTGGAATGCGCGCCCGTCTGTATGGTGTCTCGACCGAGCTGCTACTCATTTCCCCAGCGCTTTACCGTTATATTATATACTTATTGTGAGTTATTTTGCCACTTGTACACACATACCCTTTTTATTGCTGTCCGTTCTGTGCCATTTGTCTGCAGAGGGATGGGCACATGTAGGATGGGGCCACTCCCCCCCCTCCAATTACCACAAACAAAAACGAATCAACTGAACAGATCACACATTTTTAATTTTACATGTATTTATACAAGTCTGGGCTCTACTCCATGGTTATAGAAGTGCATAACGGAGATCAATTAACCCTACTGCGTTGGTAGTGTCTCCATCGTGACGTCGTGGGGGTAACGCCCCCGTGTGACTAATCTGCACCCCTGCCAACGCTGCTATAAATATGGGGGAGAAAAACTCCCCTGTATGTCCTGGGGTAATTTTGCAACAGCGTTTCCGTAACAGTGTTGTTGGCTCCCTCTGCTGCTTCTCACTTGAAGTGGAGAGAACATTATCATGTAGTCTCGAGGGGGAGGGCGACGCTTCTATCGATGCGTAGAGAAGGGAAGCACTGTGCAAAGTGGCGTATTTACCATGACTAGGGAAAGATATCAACATCGGGTAACGGTTCACGGACTGAATGAAATGCCAGAGTCCGTCTCTTCCATTTTGCGCGCCTTCTTTCACTGCCTTTTTTTTTTTTTTTTTTTGACCATTTTTTAAGCGTTTCTTCTTTCCTAAGGGAGTATGACAGTAAACTCTGTATGCTATAATACTAGTGCGACGTGGCCGTTTCTCCACCCTCAGCTCAAGTTGGCGTTGACTGTTATTCCGTGACGACACTCCTCCATTCTGCAGCGAATTGCCCCCAATTGTGGGGGCGGG